TTCATGTTGTGTTTGCCTAAGTGCCCATATTGTGGCGTTGGGCAGAGAGAAAAGAGGCTAGGTCCTGTAGATACTTGAGATTTGGGAAGGGAGAATAAGGTAATGTAAGAATGGTAAGTTTTTGTTGGTATTATTGATGGTGGTAGGTGTTATGGTGCTATAAATAATAGAAATAGTAATAGAAATGGATGCATATTATGTCTGGTAATGATCTGTGTTACTGTGATATATTTTGTTATTTTTCACTATATTTCTATAATTTCTGATATTAACATTTTTACAGGAGGCGAAACCAAAGCTCAGGAGAAATAGAGTGACTTTTTTTTTTAAGGATAGTACTTCTTACCTACTGTAGATATATTTTTAAAAAAAGCTGTAATGCTTTTTTTTTTTTTTTGCCTGTAATACTTTTTTTTTTTCCTGGTCGGTTGTGGGGTCTGAACTCTGGGCATGGGCACCATTCAGCTCTGCAGCTCAAGGCTAGGGCTCTACCACCTGAGCTATCGTGCCACTTCCAGCCTTTTCTGCTTTATGTGATGCTGAGGAATTGAACCCAGGGCCTCATGCATGCAAGACAAGCATTTTACCATTGAGCCACCTTCTCAGCCCTGTAATGCTTATTTTTGCCCAATGATCATGTTCTTTTTCATGTATTTTCTTTTTTTAGCCAACATAGAAAACAATGGCTGACAATAGTATATCAATATCGACCTTGGGGAGGACTTGCTTGGCAGACTCTTCTATTTTTGAGGCTAAAGTTGTTGAAGCTTCTAAGGAACACTTGTATATTGGATCTGCCTCAAATGTTGAAGGTAAAACCAGTTATTATCTATGTTGCTTGCTTTTGAGACTAAGGTCTTTGTTATATGGTGCAGGCTGGCCTGGAACACCTGATCTTCCTGTCTCAGCCTCCTAAATACTGGGCTTACTATCTGCTCTGAAAACCCTGAATTACTGTTTGAATCTTGAACTTACTGTTGATTTTCTTAGGGTGTAATTGTAATAAAAATAGTTAGAAGCATAGATATTAAGCGCCACTTCTGGCTTTTTTTTTCTTTTTGCTTATGTGGTGCTGAGGAATCGAACCCAGGGCCTCAGGCATGCAAGGCAAGCGCTCTACCACTGAGCCACTTTCTCAGCCCCAGCATAGATATTAAGTAGATATGATAGTATCATTCTCTGCTATTCAGATTTTCTGTTTATTGTTTAGATTAATGTTCCTTAACTTTGAAAAGAAGGGAACATCTTATTGCTGATTCTGCTTTGTTTTCTGTATAGTGGTGCATAGAAATTCTGGCTGCACAATTAAGCTAGAATTTATTCCGTCCTGACTGGCTAAGTGCCCTTTCTTCTTTGCAAATGGGATAACTTCCTGAGAGTGTATGCATTTGGAAGAAAAGGGCTATTGATATTTGTTTACTCTGTCACAATATATTTTCTAACATGAGTATGGCTAGATATTTCTATCTAAATTAGGACTGATGTCATTTCAATTTTTGAGAATGTTACCATCTCAAAGACAGAAGGCTTACTATATAGCCAGAAGCTGAGGTAGCAATTACTATGTTTTTAGTACTTGACTAACATATTTAAACACTTTACATTTTAATAGAAGAAATGCCTCAGGTTGAAACTCGAGTGATAATGGTTCAAGAAGCTGGAAAACAGGAAGAACTTGTAAAAGCCCTAGAGGTATGGAGTTTTGATTGACAATTTACTTTTAAAAAATATTTTTTTTTGGCCCCATCAGTGTTTAATAATTTCCCTCATCACTTTCTTAATCTTATACATAAGTCTCTTTTCCACAGACTATTAAAATAATGGAAATCCCTGTTATAAAGATAAAAGAAAGTTGTCCTGGAAAAGCGGATGAAAAGTTAGTAAAAAGTATTGTTACCATGGTAGGTGACACTCTCATTGCATGTGGCATGCTGCACTTCCCTTGATCAACTTGTTCCACTGATGGTGATTGGAATTAGGCCTGGGTATATTCTGTGTGTTTTGAAACTAGACAAATAGAAACTATTTTAAACTTAGTTTTAAACTTTGGGTATATCTGAAACCCAAAACTATATTATCTATTTGAAATAATTTCATCATTTTAAGAACTTGATTACTAAATTTAAATGACTCAGAATGTACAGGATCACGTAGTTTTCTTTAAACCTATTCCCCCTCTATGCCAGTACTGGGACTTGAACTCAGGGGCTAGGTGTTGTCCCTTGCTTCATTGTTCAAGACTGGAACTCTACCATTTGAGCCACAACTCCACTTCCAGCTTTTTGATGATTAATTGGAGATAAGAATCTCATGGACTTTCCTGGCGGGGCTGGCTTCAAACCATGATCTTCAGATGTCAGCCTCCTGAGTAGCTAGGATTATAGACTTGAGCAACTAGTACCAAGCTAATTTTCTCTTAAGCTTCTTTTCCCTCTTTAATTTTATATTATTATTATACTTATTATAGATTGTATATTTATTTACATGTTTATATAGTTTTATATTTATTACATATTATCTGTTTTTCTGAAATCACAAAGCATAGTAAGTGATAATTCTCACACATTTGCTTCAGTGTATGAAAGATACTTGTGCCAGCTGGGCAGGCACTCTCCACTGAGGTTCACCTCACGTCTCAGCTGAGTGTGCTCAGTCTGCTTGAAAAAAATAACAGTGACCAGATTGCTTTAAGAAGAAATTTACTCTCACAGTTCTGGAGGTTAGAAGTCCAAGAAGAAAGTGTCAATTACTGTTTCTTGAGGCCTTATATCTTGGTTTGCCAGTGGCTTCCTGCTTGTTGTGGAGTCCTCATGGAGCTCTTCCCGACACCCCCTAGCCCCTTCTGTGTCTGGACATCTCTGCTGTTATTTTGTGAGTCCAAATTTCTTGTAAGAATACTAGTGAAATTGGTTTAGAGCTCCATTCATAGACTTTAATTACCTGTTTGAAGCCCTTATCTCCAGATCCACTCCCCTCTGAAATGAGGCTTCATTCTTCATTTGTGGTTTGGAGTGCTGAGAGGCCAGTGGGCTGAGACTCAGCCCTCATGCATATTAGGCACAAATAATTGACACATCTATCCAGTTTTTTCCCCCCTGTTCTTTTTACTCTGGAATTAAGTAGGCTGTTTTATGTCTTCATCCTTTCTTTCTAGATACATAGTATAAAGTGTTAACTGTGAGTCACTATAAGTAATTTTCTTTAACCTACAACTGCCTGTACACCTCACATCTTTCTCTTCTGCACATTTAGATTAAAACCTTTTTACAAATATTATGTGCTGTTATTTTTATTAGAATTTTTTCTGAAGATATTTAATTTGTACAGGAAGAAATGTAGGTGTGTATATTTACTGTATTCTACTGTCCAAATGCACATACTTAAGAAGATTACAGTATTTTAATTTTCTAGGGCTTAATATGCATACTAGATGATTTTGGGATTACTACTATCATCAGAAGTTTGTCCCTTTAATAATTTTTAAATTTAAGGTCTTTGATGATCATAGTTCAAAGCCTGCTTGGACAGAAAAGTCCTTGTGAGACTCCTATCTCCAATGAACTACTCAAGCTGGACGTAGCACTGTGACTCAAGTGGTACAAGCACTAGCCTTGTGCACAGAGAGGCTCAGGGACAGTGCCCAGGCTCTGAGTTCAAGCCCCAAGACCAGCAAAAAGATTTTAAAGTGGATTGACAAGATTTTCTGGAAAAATATAAGTAGATGAAGAAATCAGGGCTTTTACATGTAAAGTTGATTATCACAATTGAATTTGTGAGTTTTCTAAATCTAATGATGTTGAAAATATTGCTATGCAAGAGATTTGATTTATTTGGCCTATAAATTATTTTTATTTCCAATCATTATATGGGGAAAAATGAAGGAAACGCAAATGTCCTATGCAAGGATGGAGTCAGTGAATGAACTGGAAGGTTTGGATTCCCCAGAATTTGAGAATGTCTTCGTGGTTCCGGACTTCCAGGATTCTGTTTTTAATGACTTACACAAGGCTGATTGTAGAATTATTGGACCACCTGTTCTTTTAAGCTGTGCACAAAAGGGAGAGGTAAGGAACAATATATATTATTACTTTTCAAGGTTAAGCTTTTAATGAACAGATTTTTATTGAAATTATTGAGAGTATGCAAGACTTAGAAGAAGAATAACAGCCATTGTTCATATTCCTTTAATTCCCATTATAAACTTTAGTAGTTTAAATTTAAGGCTTTTTAATGTGAAATAGTAAGTGTAACATAATTCTTACTATCTGTAGTGTCTTGAAAGAGATAACGTATCATGTTTCTTTTTTCCCCATATAGAACAGATAATACATTCTCATTTTTATCAATTGCTGCTTAGTTTAGAATTAGGAACCTATCATAAACATTTCAATATGATTAGTTCCTATGTAGTTTTGTTACTTTTGCCATTTTGTTAGTACCTTAAAGTAGTTGTACAAAAGAGGTTTCAATTAAATGTCAGTTATGAGTGCATGCATCTTGATCAGTATCACTGCTTCCATTATTATTCTCCATCTTTCCCAACACCATGGTTTTGCACGTTTGTTTATTTAGTAGTTGTATAAAGGGGTTTCAGTTCTATAAGTCAGGCTGTGAGTCTAATACATCTTTTTTGATCGTGAGGCTTGACCTCAGGGTTTGGGTCCTGTCCTTGAGGTTTTTTTTTGCTCAAGGTTAGCACCCTTGAGCACAGCTCTACTTCTATCATTTTTCAGGTGCTTAATTGGCCAGAAGAGTCTCCTGAACTTTTTTTTTTTTTTAATTTATTTTTTTGTCAGTTGTGGGCCTGAACTCTGGGGCCTGGGAGCTGTCCCTTAGCTCTTTAGCTCAAGGCTAGCACTCTACAACTTGAGCCACAGTGCCACTTTGTGTTTTCTGGTGGTGTTTTTGGTGGTTAATTGGAGTCTCATGGACTTTTCTGCCTGGGCTGGCTTTGAACCATGATCCTCAGATCTCAGCCTCCTGAATAGCTAGGATTATGCCCGGCTTCTCATCGACTTTTGTTTTCTGGCTGTCTTTTAATTGAGATCCTCCTATCTTAGCTTCCTGAGTAGCTAGGATTACAAGTATGACCATCATTCATAATGAGAGAACCATTTTACCCTCTCATCCCTACCATCAAGTTTTACATAGTTCAGTTTTTACATAATGTATATCAATTGTAATGTCTGCATTTTTCCATCCTTCCTCCATTTGTGTTTTCCCCTTTACTCCTCCCAAACATGTTTCTGCTTTCTGGTATTCATTTTGTTAAACTGTTCTTTAGTTATTTAGGTTTTGCCTTTTTTTTTTTATTGTGAAAATACTGTACAGAGGGGTTACAATTACATGGGCAGGATAATGAGTACATTTCTTATCAAGCATTGTTGCCTCCTCCTTTGTTTCCCCTTCCCATCTGGTTTTGCCATTTTTAAGCTTGCCTTTTTATTGTCAGTTTGTGTCTATTGTTACAGATGCCAGAGTACATGAAAACCTTTAATACTCATAAAAATAGGTGAATTAATTTATGAGGCCTGTGAATGATTTTTACCTATGATTACTATAAATTCAAGTGATCTGTGTAAGATTAGACTTAGGAAGAATTAGCTTGCATTTTCCAGAATTTCATGGGCTTCATTTATTTTATTTTATTTTTTTTTTGGGTCCAGTCGTGGGGCCTGAACTCTGGGCCTGGGCACTGTCCCTCAGCTCTTCAGCTCAAGGTTAGCGCTCTACCACTTGAGCCACAGTGCCACTTCCGGCTTTTTTCTTTTTGCTTATGTGGTGCTGAGGAATCGAACCCAGGGCCCCAGGCATGCAAGGCAAGTGCTCTACCACTGAGCCAATTTCCCAGCCCATGGGCTTCATTTATTAATACTTCACCCATAGTCAATGATTATGTTAAACATCTCCATTTTTTTTAACTTCAAGACTTGGAATCCTATTTGGTTTAAATTTATTAAATTTCTTGGTATTTATTAATTATTTTAAATTTATTAAATTTATTTATTATTTTATTAATTCATTTAAATGTTTTAATTTGTTTTATAATATTAATTGAAAGCATTTGTAGTAGTATATGAGTCTATAACTCTTTGCTTACAGTTATTTAATGTATGCCAGAGTGTATTTTGGAATAAAAAATTTAGATATACTTTCTTCATGTTGAATTTTCTAGTTGTAAAATATGCTTAGAAAATAAAATATACTTGAGGAATCATGGGGAAATATTTATTTGCTACTACTGGAGCTTGAACTTAGGGACACTGAAGCGCTGTCCCTTAGCTATTTCACTCAAGGCTGATATTCTACTACTTGAGCCACAGGTCCACTTCTGCCTGCCTGCCTGCCTGCCTGCCTGCCTTCCTTCCTTCCTTTCTTCCTTCCTTTCTTCCTTTCTTCCTTCCTTCCTTCCTTTCTTCCTTCCTTCCTTCCTTCCTTCCTTCCTTCCTTCCTTCCTTCCTTCCTTCTCTCTCTCTCTCTTTTTTTTTTGGCGGTTAATTGGAGATAGGAGCCTGAGATTTGTCTGCCTATGTTAGCTTTGAACTGTGCTTCTCAAATCTCAGCCTTTTAAGTAACTGGTGGCGTGAACCACCTGTGCTGGCTTCTTTTCTTTTGTGAGTTAGAGTCTCACTGTGTAGCTCAGGCTGGCCTCAACCATGTGATCCTCCTACCTCAGCTTCCCAAATACTAGGATTACAGGCATGCATTACCACACCTGCCTAGGAATTTTTTTTAATCTGAAATTTGTAATCTGAATTTTTGTTTTGTCGTTGTTGCATATTAGAAATACAAGTAAAGTTTTAAAGAGGTGAAGTTGATTTGTAAGAGGAGAAATACTTTTAGCTTGAAAAAGATGTCTTCTAATTTTTACTGAAAAGAAAGCTCACAGATTGAAAATTGTATCCTCAGCCTTTGCCATTTTCATGTCGGCCGCTGTACTGTACAAGTATGATGAATCTAGTTTTATGCTTTACTGGATTCAGGAAGAAAGAAGAGCTAGTAAGTATTAATTACAAAACACAATCTCAAAGGATTTTGTTTTTCAAAACAAAAACCTTAAATTAATTGGCTTGTTTAAATTGGCTTTATTATTTGGCATTATGACTTTATTTTACAAATATTTAAGGAGAACGTATTGCGACTGTATCAAGTTCTAAATATTTTGGAAAAAAAAACAAATTCTTAAGAGCATTGTAAAGAGCTAAATGTTTTTGTCCAGAATGACTGGTTTATGATTTAATTATTTGATCTTCTTAACTGATCTGCTTAACCAGCTCTATTACTAATTTGAACTTTGTGTTTAAATATCTAAGTCTAGCTTTAAAGTAGTAGTCTTACTCCCCCAGATAAGCCATTGAAACTATTTTTGCTTCACAATGTTTTGTATATTAGAATTCATGAATACTACAGTAATTTTGTGGCCAGAATCTTGATGTTATAGTAGTATAAAAATATATTTAGGAAATGTAGTGTTATTAAAATGAGTGGTACATTTAGGAATTATGAAAGCCAGTTCTTTAATTACCTTAATTTTCTAGAATAATTTATATTAAGTTTATTTCTATATACAATTTTGCCTGTGACAAAATAATCTTAAGAACTTGACATAAAATTTAGTATCTTTATAAAAATCTTATTTGCACATTAAAAAGAAGTAAGTGCTGTGTGAATTGTAAATTATTTAAAATTTTATTCAAATTAATGAAATATTGCTCAATTTTCTTTTGAGGTCAGATTGGTGACATTAGTTCATCATATGGGTGGAGTTATTAGAAAAGACTTTAATTCAAAAGTTACACATTTGGTGGCAAACTGTACAGAAGGAGAAAAATTCCGGGTATGTAAACATGACATTTTTGCGTATTTCAATTGTATAATATTATTTTAGAATGGGTTGATTATCACTTACTTGTCTGCTTTTCTGTGTTTACTGAGGATAAGAAATGTCACTTTGGCTTTCAGTATATGTGATAAAAATTATAATTCATGTTGTATATTTTTACGAAGGCAGTAGAGCTGGAGGGAGGTAGTAGTATGAGTAGTGTTGTTGGTTGGGGTACGTATAGAATGAGCAAAGATGCTTTGCTTTGGTTATGAGGGCATTAGGATCTGTGAGAAGGGTTTCAGCCTTGTCTAAGTAGGTTTTGTAAGAGCAGAGTTCTATTTTTATAAACAGTCTGTGATTTAGCTTGTAAAATTTATAAAAGAACAAGTTTGAACTCAGGATCTTGTGCCTACTAGGCATAGCTTTTATCACTTGCGCTGTGCCTTCAGCAGCCCCACTCTGGCCTTGAACTTGCAATCATCCTGCTTCAGTCTTTCAGATGCTGAGATTATAGCACTGTGCCCACCTGAAAACTTTGTTTATTTTTCTGGCAGAATGGTGTTTGAATTCAGAACTTTACTGTAGCTAGGCAGGCTCTCTATCGCTTAAGCCATTCCTGTAGCCCTAAGAATTGTGGTTAATACCACTGCAGATTTGTCATTTGTTCCCACTTTCCTCAGTGTCATTATGTAGTGGATGTTAATTTTAGGTATATTTTTTAATTCATGTCTAAGGTTAAAGTGACTTAATCAGATTTCTCTTCCCCTCCCCTCCCCTTCCCTCCCCTCCCCACCTCTTCTCTACTCTACTCTTTTGTTTTATGCCGGACCTGGAGCTTGAACTCTAGGCCCTGAGCATCTTTTGCTCAAGGCTAGCACTCTACCTCTTGAGCCACAGTGCCACTTCTGGTTTTCTGGTGGTTAATTGGAGATACGGGTCTCACAGACTTTCCTCCTGCCTTTCCTGGGCTGGCTTCGAAACACCATCCACAGATCCTCCTGAGTAACTAGGATTATAGGCATGAACCACCAGTGCCCAGCTATATATATGTATATGTATATATATTATACGTGTATATATTATATATGTATATATATTTTTTTCTGTAGGCATTGTTTTGGTCATTTTCCAAGGAAGTTAACAGGAACAAAAGACAAATTGAAATTTCATGGCAGTCCACTTAATCAAAGATTGTTTTTAGTTATCTTAACCATCATCTAAATAAATTTATTTCTCTGAGTTTCAACTCTGGGCACTCTTCTCCATGAGCCATGTCCTAAGCCCTGTGTTATATATTTTCCCTGGGCCTTTCTGGATATCACCAATCCTTATTCACTGAAAGGAAGGGGAGCCTCACCAATTTGGCTGATATGGAAGTGAGATTTTTTTTTTTATTGTGAAAAAACCTTACAGAGGGGTTACAGTTACATGAGCAAGGTAATGAGTACATTTCTTATGAAGCATTGTTGCCTCCTCTGTTTCCCCTTCCCATCTGAGATCCTTTTTTGATTTCGTCTGAGTACCTCGCAGTGTGAGCCACCAGTGCCTGACTGTGAGACAGTTCTTACTATTCATCTCTTTTATAACTATAATGTAAAACTGTATGAAAAATGTGTGTATGTAATTACGTAGGAGTAACTTAAATGCAGTCATTTAAGATGAAAATTCATTATATTTAATGTTAATATTTCTAGGTTGCTGTGAGCCTGGGTACTCCAATTGTGAAGCCAGAATGGATTTATAAAGCATGGGAAAGGCGGGATGAGCAGTAAGTTTTTAGAAGTTCAGTGGTTTGGTATTTGAATTGGACATACAGTTAATTTCTTTTTCCAACATATGTTTGAAAGATAAATTCATGTGCCTGAAACTAAATTCTTTAGCCAGGCATGGTGTTGAGTGTTTGTAATCCCAGCATTTGGGAGGCTAAGGCAGGATGATGATGAATTTGAGGCTGACTTGTGTTACAGAGTGAGACTTTTCACAACAACAAATGCTCCATCCCCTTAAATTCCTAGATAATATAGAAAAACTGAATTCAGTCTTTGGGTAGCTAGGGAGTAGAATCTAAGTTAAAAAATTAAAGACATCTAAGATATCTTGGGGTTTCATTTTGCTTTGTGAAATAATTTTGGTTATAAATATTCTAAAATGGCTAATAATGAATCTGAGTATTGAAATTGTTCTTTTTTTTGTTTGTGTGTATGTAGAGATATTTGAATTAAAGTGTAAAACCATTACCTTGTTTGCTAAGCTTTGCAATCTCCTGCTTTCTGTTAGTTCTTGCTGTGGTACTAAACCATTACATAATTTTGTGAAATTATGGACCTTTAGAATACATGTATAATTTCACTATCTAGCTAGGGCTTGGATTTTTTTGTAAAGATATTTATCCTAACATTTTTTTCAGAAGTTACTTTCTGGATGACTTACAGATACATCGGTAGAGGCTGTGACCCTAGAGAGTCTCTTATATGTTAATCACAAGCTACTACTGAGCTATATTCTCAACCACAGTTTTTTATTTTTATTTTTATTGTGAAAATACTGTACAGAGGGGTTACAATTACATGGGCAAGATAATGAGCACATTTCTTATCAAGCATCGTAGTCTCCTGCTTTGTTTCCCCTTCCCATCCCTTCGTATGGGTCCTCCTGTATCCCTGTTTTAACAATTTGTTTTTTTCCTTCCCCTCCACATATACCAACATCATATATAGTGAAAGCAGGGGTTATACCTTTGGGGAGGGACATACAAGGCAACGAAGACATAATCTTATAAATATGTTAGAAACAATCGCATGAAAGATCTCTCTTTTCTTTCTTTTTTTTTTTTTTCTTGTCAGTCGTGGGGCTTGAGCTCTAGGCCTGGGAGCTGTCCCTGAACAATTCAGCTCAAGGCTCATTCAACCACAGTTTTTTTTTTTTTGGGTCCGGTTGTGGGGCCTGAACTCTGGGCCTGGGCGCTGTCCCTCAGCTCTTCAGCTCAAGGCTAGTGCTCTACCACTTGAGCCACAGCACCACTTTCGGCTTTTTTTTTCTTTTTGCTTATGTGGTGCTTGGAAATTGAACCCAGGGCCTCATGCATGCAAGGCAAGAGCTCTACCACTGAGCCACCTTCCCAGCTCCTCAACCACAGTTTTTTTTTTAAAACAAGTTTTTGTGAACATTTCATAACTAGATGTATTTTCTTTATTTCTTTTTGTTCCGCTACTGGGGCTTGAATGCTTTCCTATGGTTTCTTTACTCACAACTAGCCCTTGACCCACGCCTCCAGTTCTGGCTTTTTGGTGGAGATAAGGGTCTCATGAACTATCGTCAGATCTCAAGTCTCCTGAGTAGCTAGGATAACAGGCATGAGCCATCATTGCCTCATTCAGATGTATTTCAGTAACCTTATGTTGAGACCTTGAGAATTACTGCAGATTTGCAAATTGATATACTTAAATAATAGAATATGTTAAGCTAGTTTTAGAAAAGTATTTTGTTTTTAGGAATTTCTGTGCAGCAGTTGATGACTTTAGAAATGAATTTAAAGTTCCTCCATTTCAAGATTGCATTTTAAGTTTCCTGGGATTTTCAGATGAAGAAAGGACAAATATGGAAGAGATGACTGAAATGCAAGGTAGTTTAAAAAGTTTTCTATATTTCTTTCCCCAGACCTATTAATGTTTTCCTAATTAATTTTCTTTAGAGATTGGGGTTTAGAGATGAGTTTGGCTTACTTGTGCTTATACACATTCCTCTTTTAGGAGGTAACTATTTACCAGTGGGAGATGAGAGATGCACTCACCTTATAGTTGAAGAGAATACAGTTAAAGAACTTCCATTTGAACCTTCAAAGAAACTTTATGTTGTCAAGCAAGAGGCAAGTCAATGCAATGAGATATAAAAAATAAGCAAATGTTACTAATAACTTCTCTCATAAGCTAAAGTTAATTCTCAATTAAAATGCTTTCTCTCATCTAGTGGTTTTGGGGAAGCATTCAGATGGATGCCCGTGCTGGAGAAACGATGTATTTTTATCACAAGGTATGTTCCTCCCCCAGGTTTGTTCCCCATCCCCACATATTCGTTTTGATTATATAAAAATGATAGTTTGGGCTTAGTGAGCCTGGTATTATATACATAACATTTTATTATATGTTTAGGGCTTTTAGAATAATTAAGTAGCTAGATATCCAGTAAAATTTTTAATCTGTGTAGATTTAATTGAAACAATGCATTTAATTTAGTATAACACAAGTTCATTCTCTTTGATAATTCTTGATTATACCATTATAAATAATGAGACTTATGTTTAGAAACTTAGAACTTTATTGGCAAGTATGTTCTAGAGAGCTTCACTCTGAGAGACTGAATCAGAGTGAGAAGGGCAAATAACTGTTAAGCCAATACCAGTCTAATCAAGTAAGGACATTTAAGTTAGAACAATAGGTGAGAGGGTATAAAAGTGCGATAGTGTTAAAATAGCAAGTAGTTTAGTGTGGGAAATCCTGTAGATAAAACTAAAACTTAATACATAGGCAGGATCAGTAAGTTTTTAATATACTAAAGAGTTAGGATTTATCCATTAGGATAATGGGGAATCCTAAGGGAGAAGATGTCCTTAAAAAGATGGTCAATAGAATGGAAACCTGAAAATCCAGCCTTCACGCTAGGTCTACATGAAGAACAATGGCATTCACTAAAACAATAGCAGTCTTTCTGAGGTTTTAGTTTGGAAATTAATGATTTAGAGTGTGAGGTATTATTTCTCTATAAAATTTAAGTAGGTACCATATTGTACATAATCCATGTTTTTGTCAGACTTATAAATGTATTTTTCTTTGTCTCAGTAAAGAGCCATGGAAATAATACACATCCTTTGTGCTTTTGATTGTAGGCTAATACTCCGGAGCTCAAAAAATCCGTGTCACTGCTTTCTCTAAATACTCCAAACAGCAACCGCAAAAGACGTCGTTTAAAAGAGACACTTGCTCAGCTCTCAAGAGAGACAGACATGTCACCTTTCCCTCCCCGGAAACGTCCATCTGCTGAACATTCCCTTTCTATAGGGTCACTCTTAGATATCTCCAACACACCAGAGTCTAGCATTAACTGTGGAGGTAATTGGCATTTAAAAATGAAATTTTTAAGATTAATGATATAGAATGGTTATCAAAATGTAGGTAAATCCTTACTACAATGAATATGAAAAGCCTTTAATTGCCTTTAATACCTTTGTTCTCAATGGGGAGAAAAGACAGGAAGCACTAAGCATAATCTTCCATTGGATGATGTCTCACTACATGCTTAGTGTTTTATGTATTTTGTATATTTGTTAAATAGATTTTATTATCTCCATTTCATAGATGATTGAATTGAGGAACAGAGAGGTAACTTGTCCAGTTAAGAATGACAAGAACTGTTTAAAAAGCAAATTCTTAGGC